AATTATAACCTTAAAGATATTTATTTAAATGATATATATGACATCATTGGTACATGAGGTCAGATAAATTGTCAAAAATGTGAAAAGAATTTGTTGGAAGTGTAATGAAACTGAAATATTTTTTCATCTTTGGTGGACATTCAATAAAGCCAGAAAATATTGAGATCATGTATGTATTTTGATACAGAAGATTTTTAAAGATAAATGTACAACTGAAATTCGAGGCTATACAAATTCAGATGAAATATTGTGATCTGGTAGGATTTTGGCCAGGCTACAGGGTGGTAAAAGGTTGCTGATCCCTTACCTTAGTGTAAAATAATGGCTATAAGCCATTACTACAAGCCAATGTTAGAGAGATTTATCCTTTGCCGGTGGCCTGTCATGTTGAATAGCTCCAGTATATGTTCAGTATACTCAGGGGTGGGATTCTACCAGTTTGGATCAGTTCTATAGAACTGGTTGTTATGATTCTGCGCAGTTCGGAGAACCGGCAAATTGTGCCCCTGGATGGCCCCGCCCCTCTCTGCCCACCCCTCCCCTTCTCTCCCAGTCAGTCATCGCGCATGCATGACATCGCGCACATGCCCGACATTGCTGACTGCGTTCTCCCCCGCCCAGTCATTCCTTAAGGAATTTCGTTTTTCCCCCCTCCCAACGATTAGCTGTTCTGATGATCAGCTGTGCCGGGATCCCCCTTGCTATCTTACTGCTTCACCCAGGAGGCTTCCCTGAAGCCTAGGAGGCCAAAAGGGGCATGCAGGGCCATTTTTTTTTGCCTTCCTGGGAGCAAAAATGCCCACCCCCAGTAGGCTTCCCTGAGGCCCAGGAGGCAAAAAAATGGGGGGGGGGGTTGCTGCAAAAACAAGAAGCCATGCCCACCCAGTCACATGGCCATGCCCACCTAGCCACATCCACCTAGCCACGCCCACAGAACTGGTTGTTATAAAATTTGAATCCCACCCGTGAGTATTCTATATGAATCCTGCCAAAAATGGGCTAAACTATGTACAATTTGAAAAACGACTAAAAAGAAATGCTGTGGATCTTGCACAAGATTTCCAAAAGATCACCAAAGATGCTGCTGCTTTAAAAATCACATTAGCATTAAGGAGTGGTTTCCTTAAAGCAGCAACATCTCTAGGTTCACAGAGAAGTGGGGATGAAAAGTGTGAAACTACTTTAATGAGTGAGAGAGAATAATTTTTTTCTGAATTATTCAGCCAACATGCTCAGCTCCCCATATGGCTTAATTCACTAATCTGACTACAGTGTCTTGCATGGAACTAGCCTCATATGTAATTTTGATGTTCCAAATCTGCAGCGAGATTTATTTGAAAATATTTAATCTATTATCTGCATAAAAAAAGAACAATGTATTGTTCTGAAAGGGGTTCCAGGTCTCTCTTTAAAAAAAATAAAAATCTCTCATGACCTACAGTAGACTTGGGTCCTCAAACATTGCAGTACCATGACCCCAAGGTGAATTCATTCAGAGATCATATAATGAATTTATATGATCTCTAACCCCAGGTGTATCAGTCCTAAGAAAAGTGGCAGGTTTATATTTGGAAAAGCAGAATGAAGAACGAAGTCCAGAATAAATTTTGAGGGCCTTCCAGTTTTCTCTCTGCTAGTCTGGACAAGATTAAAAGAAAATTGTGATCCCTATCTAGGTTGCCGACAACTTCCTGGGGAATCCCAAGTTCCATATGAGATCCATGGCAGTGAGTTTGAATAATTCTTAGTACGAGGCCATATAAAATTATCAATACTCATAATTTAGCAAGTCAGGATTTCACTTGATGATCACCCTATCACCAACGTCACTCCTTATTTGGAAAAAGGTTTTGGCAGCTTTATTTTTGGCATCTATTTTATTGCTAAGTGAAGCTGATTAACTGAATAAGTAATTGATGCTTCCAGGAGTAAGCCCTGGATTTTACCACATTTCTGCTTTACAGTACAGTGTACAAGAAACCCTGGGGTTACTTATGTCTGTATATGGTAGCAAGATGTCATAAAAGAAGTGATGTGCACAGAATGCTGGGGTTAAAAAAATTCTTGGGTTCCAGTCCAAAGCTGCTATGTCTCTACTTGCTTTTTCCCCAGCTGTTCAGGGAAGCCAAGAACAAAGAAAGATTGAAAAGTTTATCTGATTGCTTGAGACAAGGGCTTAAATGTATTGCAAAAAATTGCTTTGCCTCTTCGGAGAAGAATAGTTCAAAATCAGAAAAGCAAACCGTTTGACTCCATTGAAGAAGTGCAAGCAGCAGTAGAATAAGAGAGACTTCAGAAGTCCCACATTCCACTAGATATATCAGAGGTATTTTGCTTATATTATATAATTTGGTAAGGACTCCTAATTTCCAATATTGCTTTAGCTTGACTAAGTACAGCGAAGATGGCTGCAGAGGTGGATTTAGACACAGTGGATCCTTGACATCCTTGCTGAAGAGGCTCTACTTGACAAATACTATCAGAGCAAAAAAAATGTGTAAGGATTGAATTTGGGAAGAATAGCAATAGCACTTAGACTTATATACCACTTAGTGCTTTACAGCCTTCTCTAAGCGGTTTGTCAGAAATGGTGTAGGGTCTCCCGCTTGGGAGGGGGGTTGGACTAGATGACCTACAAGGTGCCTTCCAACTCTGATTATTGGTTAAATCTGTTAAATCTGTTTACAGAGTCAGCCTATTGCCCCCAACAATCTGGGTCCTCATTTTACCCACCTCGGAAGGATGGAAGGCTGAGTCAACCTTGAGCCTGGTGGGATTCGATCTGCCAAACTGTAGGCAGCTGGCTGCAGAAGTAGCCTGCTGCCAAGATACATGACAAGTTTTTACAGAATAACAGAGCTGGAAAGGTCTTCTAGTCCACCCCCATCCCTGCCTAAGTAGCAGAACCCATACCATTCCAGACAAGTGGATGTCCAGTCTCTTCTTAAAAGCCTCCAGTGATGGAGCGCTTACAACTTCTAAAGGCAAGCCGTTCTACAAGTTAATTGTTCTCACTGTTAGCAAATTTCTCCTTGGTTCCTAAGTCATGATGTCAGTGAAGTCCGTGATGAGGTGGAGAAAAGCATCCTTTAAACAGCTTTCAATGCATGCAGGCCCAAAGCAAATCTAAAAATCTAAATCTATCTTTATTAAGTTTTAAAAAAGCAAGATAAAAACTAAAAAAAAACCCAGTAGAATAAAAAAAAGTGGGGAGGGAGGAAAAAGTCAAAGTCAAAAGTGCAAAGAAAAAGAAAATATAATGATAAATGATTTCCAATTTTCTTTTGAATTTTTTTTTCTAAATAATTTTTAAAAATGTAAATCAACATCTTAACAGTTATAGCATAACTTTCATTATGTTCTTTTAATCTATTTTTGCTAATCATCAAAACCTCATATAATTACAAATTTTCTTTTCATGCAAAAAGTCAGTAGGATCCCTCCAGTCATTATTAAACTTAGGCAATATCTTTTCTTTAATTAAGGTTAGGGTTTGGTTAAGTGATTTTTGCTCCATTTTACAACCTTTCTTGCCATAGTTGGTAAGTGAATCATTGCTGGTGTTAAATTAGTGACATGGTTGTGAAGTGAATCTGGTTTCCCCATTAACTTTGCTTGTCAGAAGGTTGCAAAAACTGATCACATGACCCTGGGACACTGCTGCCATCGTAAATATGGACCATTTGACAAGCATCTGAATTTTGATCATGTGACCATGGGATAAGTCACTTTTTTTCATTGCCATTGTAACTTTGAATGGCACTAAACAAACTGGTGCAAGTTGAGGACTATCTGTACCAAAATAAAACTCCATGGTTTATTTCCAACTGGGCCTCCAATCCCATATGATTTCAGAAGGATAGAATCAAGATCACATGAAGTGTTAATACCACTTTATAATGCCTTGGTAAGGCCACACTTGGAATACTGCTCCATCCAGTTTTGGTTGTCACGATGTAAAAAAGATGTTGAGAATCTAGAAAGAGTGCAGAGGAGAGCAACAAAGAGGATTAGGGGGCTGGAGGCTGCTGGAACTGGGTATGTCTAGTTTAATGAAAAGAAGGATGGGGGTGGGTGGGTGATACAATAGCATTGTTCCAATATCTCAGGGGCTGCCCCAAAGAAGAGGGAGTCAAGCAATTCTCCAAAGCACCTGAGGGCAGGACAAGAAGCAATGGGTGGAAACTAATCAAGGAGAGAAGCAACTTAGAACTAAGGAAAAAATTCCTGACAGAACAATTAATCGGTGGAAGAACTTGCCTCCAAAAGTTGTGAATGTTCCAACACTGGAAGTTTTTAAGAAGAGATTGGATAGCCATTTGTCTGAGGTGGTGTAGGGTTTCCTGTCTAAGCAGGGACTAGAAGACCTCTGAGGTCCCTTCCAATTCTTGTTATTCTATTCTATTCTTTTGAAATGTATATTAATCTTTAACATCTTCTTCATTAATATATGTAATTGAGTCCTTTAGGAAGCATACAAAATGAAAGCAGCATCAATTCCACAAAATAAACCTCAATGATTGTTAAAACAATAATCCCATTTTTCTTTTAAAACGTGATATTGCATTCACCTAAACAGTTTAGTTTTCTTTAGTTCCAAGTCCAGAAATAGTCCTAAAGTAGCTTATTTAATTAATTTCCTACATTTAATAGTGCAGGGTTTTATTATTGATGTAATCCTTGTCGAGGCTATAAACCAGAATTCTTGACCCTTACAAATTTTGCAGCATATGTATGTCAATTCCATTTCAGGAAGGTGATGTTTATAAACTCCCAGTTTATACTTACATAGTATTGAGGGGGGGGGGGTTTCTTGGAAGGAGACTAACAGCATTCTTATCTCATAATACTATGATACCTTGATGCATATGAATGTTTATAAGCTTGATGTATATGACTCTCTGTTCCTCTCTATGTCCAGCATTAAAGATCCCTCCAGAAGATGTTGCAGCTACTCCTTGCCCCATGAATAACTGCATGGAAAAAAGCAGAGCCTTAAGATGAATATCAATTTCCGACAACAGCCTGAGCTTCAACTGAGCTACAAAGGAACTGCCAGGCAAAGTTCAAATGAGCCCTTCCAAAGAGGAGGAACCTATTTTGCTTGTAGACACTCCCCACATCCCAAAAATGTATGTCACATTAAAGGTAAGGCTCCTTTGTGCCCCACACCCCATGTGGCTAACTGTACCATCACTCCATTCTTGTTTATGTTTTCTTGAATAGAAACATTGCCTGAGTTTATTCCTCAATTTGATTTGTTCATTTTATACGGCTACACATCTCATAATAAACTGGCTGTGTGGCCTATAACAATATTTTTTTTTTATTTATTTGATTTGATTTGTCAATCGCTTACAAGATAATAGGTATAAGTATAAACATAGTTATGAATACATGAAATGGGTACATATAAGAAAAATAAAAGAAACAATAGGACAGGGATGGTAGGCACGTTGGTGCGCTTATGCATGCCCCCTACAGGCCTCTTAGGAAAGGGGTGAGGTCAATAGTAGACAGTCTAAGGTTAAAGTTTTTGGGGTTTGGGGAAGAAACCACAGAGTCAGGTATCAAACTGACTATGTAAAAGACAATTTCTTTTAAAAAAATAAAAACTCGCAAGCCTAAAAACTCATGAGCCATGGTGGTGCAGTGGTTAGAGTGCAGTATTGCAAGTTACTTCTGCTGACTGCAATTTGGCAGTTTGAATCTCACCAGGCTGAAGGTGGACTCAGCCTTCCATCTTTCCAAGGTGGGTAAAATGAGGACCCAGATTGTTGGGGGCAATAGGCTGATTCTGCAAACTGCTTAGGGCTGCAAAGCACTGTAAAGTGGTATATAAGTCTAAAGCTATTGCTAAGAAAGCACAGCAGATGCTAATAACAATGGAGCTACATATTGTATTAAACTATGGTTTGTTTAAGCATGCTTTTTTATTAACTGTTTTGGGATCATCTTCACTTCAAGCCATAACCTATGATTTACAAATCATAACATGGAGGTTTATATAATTGGCTTTGATCCATAACTTGAGAAATATTTGACATTTTGGGTTCATTAGCAACAACTAACTCATGAACTCTGAAATGAAAACTAAGTTGTTTGATGCAGCAAATCACTATTCGTCAGTTAACGGATTAATACATGGGTATTTCAGCCAATTAGAGTTCACTAAACCTTTTATGAGATTTTTGAGATTCATAAATGTATATTTACAATGGAAAAGTATGTTGGATGCTGATGCTGATCATGATCACAATTAATCCCTGAAAGGATTGATATCAGTGTTTTCCGACTGACTGAGTCAAATATGAAACTTAACTGAGTTAATTTTATTTTTGGGTGAATTTACATCTGGAACAGCAGCATTTAATATAGAAAGTATTCCTCTGGGATGATTAACCTATGATGGCTCATTTATTCATACAAAATTATATATTATATGATTGTACAGTCATGCAAATAACACTTAGATATGAACCGGCTCCATGTGCTGCATAACTATGTGTACATGCCTGTTTAAAATAAAAATTCAACCCAAAATTTCCTTTGTATATACTGTATATATATGAATATACATATATATTATATATGTTTGCATGTTTGTATATATGTTTATACTGAGATCAACAACACAAAGCCCATGGCAACTGGCAGTCCTCTTACCCTACTTAAGTTAAATTTTAAAAAAAACAGTATGAATTGAAAATAGTTTTTACCGTAACTGCAGATTTGCAAAACAACTTTCCAAATTTGCCTTCATTGACACCTCTGAATCTCCTATATCACTCAGAGGCATTGTAAGAAAATAAAAAATGATTAATAATTCTTTTGCCTTGTTTTTCTGTAGGCTTTTTTGTTTGTTTGTTTTTCTCCAGGAAAACAGTTAGATTAATAAAATGAACTTGGCAGAGACAGGAAGGGGTGGCCGGGGGGCAACCTCACTAGTTTGCATTCTAATAATTTAATATTTGTATTGTGACTATTAAGCATTCATGAAGGGTTTAGGACAACGTGCCATGGGCAACTCACCGTGGCCAATTCACCGTGGAACAACTCACCGCAGGACAACAATTATATAATATTGAAGAAATGATGGAATAGAATCATTAAAGAAAGGATGCAAAAAAAAAAAAGAGGGATGAAGTGAAATGGGACTGACAAAAATTAAAACACTTTGAAATTATTTTAAATGATTACATTGAATTGTTGAATTGTCCCATAGCAAGTTGGCTGTGGCAAGTAGGCCCATCCTGTCCATACAACCATGACAGCAGCCACAGCATATAGATTAGATTAGAATAGAATAGAATAGAATAGAATAGAATAGAATAGAATAGAATAGAATAGAATAGAATAGAATAGAATAGAATAGAATAGAATAGAATAGAATAGAATTATTTGTTGGCCAAGTGTGATTGGACACACAAGGAATTTGTCTTGGTGCAAATGCTCTCAGTGTACATAAAAGAAAAGATACATTCGTCAAGAGTCAAGAATCATCAGGTACAACACTTAATAGTTCATAGGGTACAATAAGCAATCAAATCATGCTGTTCTTAAAATTCCTAATATGCTCAGTGGCCCCAAAAGATTGCCTGTCCATTGTGCCAAACTCAATATTAAAATATTAAAGGCTCATTTTCTTACTCAGGATTAAATGATGCACCAATCTGCTTCGTACGAGACCGAGGGTACAATGACGGGCATTTCATCATGCCAGGCCCAACATATAGCCAGCCTTACAGGCATCTTGGAACTGCAGCAGATAAGATTTTTCCCAATAATACTTTGCCAGCATTGATAACAGAGGGAGTCGGAGTAACTCTTCCACGTGAGTAATGTGTATGACTGCAAAGTTTGAATCCTTCCGTACAAGATTAAAACCTGAGTTTTACCTATTTCACCTTAGATTTTGACATCTGTATTAATTTTCTCCATGCTTTCAGTAGAAATTTGAATGGCTGAAGAGTATCTAGAGAAGATCTAGTTGGAATGAGGTCTCTGCCACTCCTTGTTGGTTTACAACTGTAGATCCTAAGGATATAAGAGGCAGAGTTGTGTTTCAACTAGTTTGTGTTGTGGTGAATAACAGCAGAAGACCGTGAATGGTTTGCAAAAAGGTGTATACACTAGCATATATGTGTTACTATCACTACAATATTGCACATTTGAATGTGGGCATCTATTTCCCTATCCCCAAATTAATAAAAATATAACACATTGTTGAATTCTTCAACAGAAGTATAATTAGCTGACCATCCTTTTAAATTTCAACTTCAATGTTTTAGGAACTTTCATTATATTCCAGATCTTGCTAAAAATGAATTTGAAGAGATGAGAAATCAAGCAAGAAATACGCCTCTTTTAAGAAAAAAGGTGAGGAATCTTTTGTCTCCATTATAATCGCTCCCTGGGGAACTGTTTACCAGTAAATTGGTTTAATTATAATTAAACTAATCAGGACTTCTTGTCTTGGGTTACATACAATTATTAGTGCCTGATGATCAGGCCACCCAAATAGCCTAATTTCAGCAATGCTTCTATGCTATAGAAATGATTGGGGAAAGAAATGGTTTTTTAAAAAAAGTACATCGATATAGTAACTGTGATAGACCCAGTTTGGTGTAATGTTTAAGGGATCAGGCTAGAACTGGGGTGTCAAACTCGATTTCATTGAGGGCCGCATCAGGGTTATGTTTGACCTTGGGATGGCTGGGGGGCATGGCCAGGGAGGCATGGCCAGCTCACTGGCACTCGTGTTGGGGGGCTCCTGTGGTGGCCTGAGCTCCGTTTTCATGGCAGAGGGCTGCAGGAAGTATATAATATATGAGCTCCATTTTCACTGGCACTGCAGGCCAGTCCTTCACCTGCAGGCCTGATCTAAGCACCCCATGGGCCGGATCTGACCCATGGGCCTTGAGTTTGACACCCTTGGGCTAGAAACTCAGATACTGTGAGTTCTAATCTCATTTTAGGGATGAAACCAGATGGGTGACCTTTGGATAGTTACTCTCTCTCAGCTGTAGAAAGAAAACAATGACAAACCACGTCGGAAATCTTTCTAAGAAAACTGAAAGGAGTTGTCCAAGCAGTCACCAAGTGTTCACACTAACTCAAAAGCACAGAAGCGCACGCACACACGCACACACACACACACACACACACACCAGTATCTGTGGAGATTGTATAATTATAGAAATGAGGGTTTACTTATAGGCTTCTCTAGTAATTGGTGTGTTTAGTGGACTAATTTCACTAAGGAGCATAAAGGGAATTTCTTGGTCTCCAAAACAAACCTGTCAGAAGCTCTGAAGTTGAAGTAACATCTTCCCAGGATGGAAGACAGGAACAAGAAGGTCAAATTCTCCAGTTTGACTGATAAGGTCTGAACTCTGGTAAGATCTTGCCTCAGATGTTCCTCTTTTCCCAAACAATACCACGCCAGAACAGAAGCATAGCAAATATTTTCTTTTTCCTTTCATCTATATTCGCTGTCTCTCTTTGCATAATGCTTTATCATCAGGATGAACCTCTGATGAAATACTTAGGAGACCATCCACAAAGTAGGACTTCTCAGGACCTCCAACTTGTGCCTATTCAGAGAATGCATCATAAAGAAAACTTCAGGGAAAATATTAATTATACCCCAAGTTATCTGGATCGAGAAATAAAAGTAAGATACAATCAGTAAGTGGTTCTATATAATATAAGTTAAGATAAGTTAAAATATGATGGCCAAAGAGGAATGATGTTTAAAAGATAAGATTGAAGGAATATTCCTGTGAAACAGTGGATTATACAGTAATTTCCCTCTTAACATATCAGGTAGTATTTTGCAGTAACTTTATTTTTCTTTGAATTGCATTGTCACTACTTAATTGAAACTAATAGTAAAAATATGCAGATGGTTGATTAAATTATTGGGTATTGAATGTAGACAAATGTTTAAACTTCTTTAAAACCTATAAATTTTTCAGGACAGCTGTCCCCAACTCAATTCTGGCAGTCCCTAGTCACTGTCTTCATTAAGTGAATCTATGCAGGTCATTAAGCAAGAACTTCACATGAACAGGACTACTGATTTCCTGCTGCCTTCCCCACTGTCTTTGATTGAGGGAAGCCAGCAAGGATAAATGGCAATCCTTGATTGAGGGAACATTCCTACAGTCAGAAATCTGGGCCAGTTGTTGAGCGCTCAGATTACGATCATGTAATTGCCAGGGCATTGTGATGGCTGAAACGTCAAGGACCAGTTGTAAGTATCACTTGTTGAGCAATGTCACAAGTTCAGATAGTCATTGAAAGAATGGTTGTTAAACAAGAACCACCGTATTAATATTGTATTATTTAGTCAATAACACCCAATACTGGTAGGCTTTATCTTCTTAGGCTACTAAATTTTGGTGGCAAAAATGTGGATGATTACTAAATGGCAAAAAAGAATAAAGATTACACCAGCTAGAAACAGGAACGGTGAGATCTAATGTCTATGGAGATTCTCCGTCATCCAGGTCATGGTTGTCCCAAAGAGGCAACTGGATTTCCTTATTTTTCTTTGAAGACAATTTGCTCCTCATCCAAGGAGTTTCTTCAGCTGTGTGAGACCTAATCCTTCCTTAGATACACAACCAGCCACTCTCTTTCAGCCTTTGGAAGCAGGCAATGGCAAACTACTTCTGAAATTTTGCTAAGAAACAACAGGGTCTTATCCGGGAAATTGCCAGGAATAAAAAGGGCACGCACACACACACACGCATAGTTTTTTAAAAAAATGTTTGGCTAGATCTTTTCAGGCTGGGTGTCCTTAATCTTTCCATCCACATAAGTTTTTAAAAATTCAGAATCCACTAGAAACTGTCTTTTGCAATTTTGCCTAGGTGTATGAAAATATTGTATTTTCTTTGTCAAACCCAAAGGCATTGTATTCTCTATTCTTGGCAACAACATTAAAATTTGTTTAAGGTTCTATGTAAAATTAAATTATATTCTTATTGTTATGTATTTCTCTAAAACACCTGCCTTTTTTATCAGTTTAAGTATCTGAAATCTTAGAAAATGAAAGTATTGCAAGCGTGATAGCACTTAGCAATAGCACTTAGACTTATGCTTTACAGCCCTCTCTAACCAGTTTACAGAGTCAGCATATTGTCCCCAACAACCTGAGTCCTCATTTTACCCACCTAGGAAGGATGGAAGGCTGAGTCAACCTTGAGCCTGGTGAGATTTGAACTGCCAAATTACAAGCAGCCAGTAGTTAGCAGAAGTAGCCTGCAGCATTGCATTCTAACCACTGTGCCACTGTGATGTTAGGTGTTACACATTATGAAGGCTAAAATAATTTACATTGTACATACAGCATTTGTAAATAATTTGAACTCATGTCTGGCTCAGTAGAAACCCAGTCAGGGATAAAATCAACAGAGTTTTAAAAAGAAAAATATTGATACCTTTTTTGCAATACTGTCAAATTGAACTGGAACATTAAAAAGATAAATAGAGTTGTATATAAGACAGTCAAAACTACTACCTAATATGAGCATCTTGATTCTAGGTCCTAGAAAAACTCTGTGACATTTTACAGACAGATACCATTGGAGGGATTCAAAGGTGGCTATCCAAGGCAAGTGTGAAAGGTAAGAGAATACACTTTATAGTTGCACACAATGTGTTTTGTTTTGCTTATTGTATCAATTATCAAGTTTGTTTTAAGCACACAATACACTTTGGAAAGTATTTGGAAGAAGTGTTTTTGAAGGCCTTGCTATTCCTTAAAGCCACACACCAGTTTTCAGGCTTTTACATGAACCTAAATATGATGCTACTGCTAACTGCTGCTTTAATGAGCTGGCTCATTACCATTAACATGACTGTTAAAACAACCGTTTATTTTATTTTCAGTCTACTAAATGAGAAGAATCATCGTATCTTATTTCATTTAGAGAGAAAGATGATTATCACTCTTACATCTTTTTAAGTCGTATCAACTAGATATAGAAACAGATCTGATGTAAAATAGACAAACTACAAATTGAAGCACAATGATGTGCAGGTAGAAGAAGAGCCTGAAACATTGTTTCTAGGAAAATTCTCTAGATTACATCTGTCTGGAATACTCTCTAATTTTGAAAGAGAATGAAAGAGACGTCCTTCAGCTACAAAGGGAAACAGAGTTTGCCCCACTGGCTGTGGGTCTTAATCGATCCTTTTCATGTACCCACAACACTCTCAGTTGCAAAGCATACATGAGTGAAATGTAAATATGAGCAGATTGCTCACTGCTGAGCCAAAAAAGTAAGTTGCAAAGCTTATCTTTTAAAGTGTCCTCAGTGGCTAAGACACTGAGCTTGTTCATCAGAAAGGTCAGCAGTTCAGTAGTTCGAATCCCTAGCACCGCGTAACAGAGTAAGCTCTCGTTACTTGTCCCAGCTTCTGCCAACCTAGCAGTTCGAAAGCATGTAAAAATGCAAGTAGAAAAATAGGGGTCACTTTGATGGGAAGGTAACAGTGTTCCATGCACCTTCAACATTTAGTCATGCCGGCCACATGACCATGGAGATGTCTTCAGACAGCACTGGCTCTTCGTCTTTGTAACGGAGATGAGCACTGCCCCCTAGATCCGGAGACAACTAGCACATATGTGCGAGGGGAACCTTTACTTTATATCTTTTGTATTTCAGAGAAAGAGTTTGTATCCAATTTCATACGCTCTGATATGACCAGCCGTGACCTGTTGTATTATAAGCCAACGGCCCAGACTGAAAGTGAAGTTCCAAACATTCAGGCTTTGCTAAGAGGGCAAAAAGGAACACCTAATGAAGGTAGCCGTGCCAGGTAAACTCGCAAAAAGTGCACAAGGAATAGAGTTTACACCATGGAAGCACCTACTGTAACCTGTTTATCTGAATCTCTGTGGAGATACTCAATCATTCAGGTCAATGAAAAGGCCTTCAACCTACAATGGATTGATTTGGGTTGATAATATTTCAAGGAAAGTAATTTTGATGCCCTCAGTGGTATTACTGCAATCTTAACAGTTCGACCTACTATGGGTAAATGTTTGTGCACCAAGAAGTGTGCACAAACAAAAAGAAAATATATTGAATGTGTATGATGCCACCTTGCTGCACTCCACATTCTGCCTCCTTTGATAATCTATCATGATGTCACATGCATGTCCCAAAAGGGGAGGAGCTTGCAACGTGATGCTGTGTTTATCATTTTTGTATTCAAAAAGCAGCTGGAGCTAGATTGTCCATGAATGTCAAGATTCCAAGTAATACATCCCATTCAATAAGAACTCTGAGGCAGGCAATGTAAATAATATTTTGTTAGCAGTGTAGTAATGTTTTTATTTAGGATGTGCTTAATCAAGTTTAATACAACTATTTTTCAGGATGAGAGTTATATAATTTATAGTGCATGGGTCAACTCATCATGTAAATATTATCAACCCTACATACCTACAATTGCTTTCAAGTGACTGTCGCTTCTCTATATATTTTAAATATAGCATTGCAATACTGTATTGTTAGTTTGGTGATATGTGAAGGGGCACCTTATTTATATTAGTAGGACATACTATTCGGGAATTTTCTGTAGGCATGGTAAGATGGTTTAAAAGGCACCAAAATCCAGTCTACTGGTAAAAACCAGTTTCTGAAATCAAATAGCAAATGGGAAATTATCAAGAGGACAATCTCTCAACAGTGAATATCTAAGAGAAGACTACTTTACACATTAAAAGAAAACAGATCTTTCTGATCAACTCCCATCTATTTATTTATATTAATTTTTCCCCTAGAATCCCCTTTTGTTAAAGTCACATTAAATTTAATGTTAGATTTGTACAGAATGGTTAAACAATCTTACTTCCACTTAGGACTTCAAGCCAAGGATCGTTAGCCAGTAAAGGTTCAAGACCAGGTAGGTATAAATGTTGGTCCTAAAAAATTACCGTAATTCATAAATATTTTAAACTTTGAATGCTGAGGAACACAAGAGCAGGCTGCTATTTAGTGTCTGCGTAATAATATATGTATAACTGCTTATGCAGTGCATTAATTAAGGCAGCTTTTTCATTAGACTCAAAACAACACTATAGAGCACTGCACACCAGAAAAAACTAGACACAAGGGCAGTTTTTTCCCAAATGCCATCACTCTGCTAAACAAATAATTCCCTCAACACTGTCCATTCCCTCAAAAATGTCTGCATTACTATTACTGTTAATCTTCTCATCACTTCTTATCACCCATCCCCTCCCACTTGTGATTGTAGGACTGTAACTTTGTCGCTTGTATCCTTACGATTTATATTGACTGTTTCCTAGTATGATTTGATTGCTTATTGTACCCTATGACTATCATTAAGTGTTGTACTTTATGATTCTTGACTCTTGATGAATGTATCTTTTCTTTTATGTACACTGAGAACATTTGCACCAAGACAAATTCCTTGCGTGTCCAATCATACTTGGCCAATAAAGAGTTATTCTATTCTATTCTATTCTATTCTATTCTATTCTATTCTATTCTA